TAAGCAGACCTATGTTAAAGTTTAGTCTATAAACTTGGCACAGTAAGACACTGATCCTAATAGCTAATAAGAAGATAGAATAACTATAAAAATACACTGTGATCAAAGTTATTTTTAACTTATAGTTTATTTCTGGAATTTCCCACTGAATTCTTCCAGACCAGGATTGACTGTGAGTAACTGAAACCAGAGGCAATAAAACCTCAGATAAGGGTTTTGCCTGTTCAAAAGTAAAGGTGGAGACAAGGGCTCCTGCCGTCTCCTGTGTGCACTGGCCATCTCCTGGCTGTGGCTGGGAAATGGCTTCATTGGGCCCCCTTACCCCACCCCAGGGATGTGATTGGAGCTTGGTCCCCAGGGCAGCAGTATGAGGAGGTGGTGGGACCTTCAAGAGGCAGAGCCCAGTGGGAGATCCTCAGGTCACTGCTGGCATGAGTAGTTCTCTGGGACCCCTGGTAGTTTCCATGAGAGGTCATCATCAAACAGCAAGCCTGCCCCCTCCCTGGCCCCCAGCCTCTGCTCCTGGTTTGAGATGTGACCTCTGCTCCTGTGCCTGCCACCGTTGTCAGTGGCCTGCAGTGATGCAGCCTCAGGGGCAGGCCTCAGCCTGCACTGTCTCCTTCTGATTTTCAGCCTCCACTATGAGCTCTTTGGCAGAGTGAGCCTGTCTCAGGCAGCTCATTCTGGTACTGAGGAGCTGACCCATGCACTCCTCAGAAAGCATCCTCCTCATCCTCCTGATGCCAGTTACGAAGGACATCCCAGCCTTTCGGTCACTACGTCACACCACCCTGTGGTGCGAGGTTGACAGTCACTGATTTGCTTCCCCTTTACACAGAGTGGAACAGAGATCCAGAGAAGAGCCCCCCCACCCCCACCCACGTGCTCAAGGTCACCCAGCCGGCAGGGCTAAGCAGTGTCTGGCCTGGGCTGCTGGCGCTGATGTAACAAGGCATGCCCCTGCAGGCCCCTCCTGGGTACGAGTTCAGATGGAAGCTAAAGAAGAGCTTCCCAACAGAGGTAGCACCTTCCAGAGCCCCCTGGTTCCAGCCAGCTCAGCTCACAGCCCACCCAGGTCAGGGCTCCTTCCACAGGACCCAGCCCCCTGCAGCACCCACCCCCTGCATTAGAAAGCTCAGGACCTCCCCCCAGGGCGGCCGAGCAGGCCTCACAGATTTCTGGTTCAGGTGAGGCAGAAACAGCAACCCCTGCTTCATGGGTTTTTGTCAAAACATGACTCCAACCATTCACTGGCAGGTTTGCCCAGATCCCCATCCTGACAGTGCTGTACCCAGCGTGGTGTGGGAAGAGAGTGGGACCATGCACCCACGTGGGCAGCCGTGGGCAGGCATCATGCCAGATGCTGGGCATAATCTCTGCCTGCCAGGAGCCCACAGAAAACCACACGCAGCCCACCAAGCCACGGACACACCAAGTGTGGCCCTTGGACCAGCAGAAGCAGCACCTCGGCTCACCAGACATGCAAATCCTCAGGGTCCTACCTCAGGCCAAATGATCCAGACTGTCTAGGGATTGAGCCCAGGAATCTGCTTTTAAAAGCTTGCTGGATGATTCTTAATGTGTTTATTCATCTGGGGACACCAGTCTAGATCAGAAGGCCTTCCCCAATCTCCCTATTTGAAATTGCAAACCAGCCCCAGGACGTGACTCCCCAACCTTCTTCCCTGCTTCATAGTTCTCCAAAGTTGTATCACCGTCAACTATAATACCGAATACTTCATCCATACACTTACAACTTCCCACACTGATATTAAGCTTCTGAGGGCAGCAATTTGAGTCACTTTTGTTCTCTGTTGTAGCATCAGTTGCCCAGCACAAAGAAGCGATCAATAAATATTTGTCAGTTGAATGATGGATGACAGAACATGCCATAACCCACACAGAACCAGTTCTTGCAGGTGCCTAGAGAAAGACAAGGTTGGTGGCCATGAAGCATGGCACAGGGACAGTGGTACCCAGGTTGGCCTGGAAGGAGGTTTAGTCCAGGAATGAAGGATGCTTAGAACACAGATGCTAAGCCTCTTGCCGGAATAGGTCTCAGATGGTTGATACCACTCTTGTCTAATCAGTAGTTTGTAAATGCCAAGAACTGTCCTAGCCTGTATCACCTGCTGCATGAACCTCAGTGGTAGGTTCAGTGACATTAAATAACTTGCCCCAACCACAAAGAAGACTTGTATAAGAATGTTCATAGCAGCTTTATTTATTTATTTATTTATTTGGTACCTGTGATTGAACTCAGGGGCAGTTAACCATTGAGCCATATCCCCAGCCCCCCCCCCTTTTTTTTTTGTATTTTATTTAGAGACAGGGTCTCACTAAGTTGTTTAAGACTTTGCCAAGTTGCTGAGGCTGGCTTTGAACTCGTGATCCTCCTGCCTCAGCCTCCCAAGCCACTGGGATTACAGACGTGCACCACAATGCCCAGCCAGCTTTATTTATAGTAGCCTCAACCAAAAAATAAACCCAAATATCCATCATCCTCTGTGAGATATTCATACAATATAATAGTACTTAGCAATAAAATGGAATAAACTATGGATACAACACAGATGAATCTCAGACATTATAAGGAAAAATAAGGCAGATGCAAAGATGCATTTGGCTGCATTTGAAGTTCTAGAACTTAAATATAGTTACATACCTAAACTGTATTTAAATAAAGCATTGTAATAGAAATCAGACAAGAAGCCACCGCTGGAGGAGGGGATGGGAGAGTGCTGATTCAGAAGAGTCATGAGGGGGCTTTCTGGGCTGGTGGACCATGTTCTACATCTAGATTGGAGTGGTGAGAGTGTGGGTGTTTACATTCACCTAAACTCAGAACCAAGCACTTGAAATCTGCATTTGATTGTACTAAATCACATTGAGTTTAAAAAAAAAAAAAGCTAAAAATAATTTGCCCTAAGTCACAAAGTCACAAATGGAGATGTGAACCCAGGTTCCCCCAATGCCAGTGGCCAGTTTACACAAATCAGACAGAGTTGAGTGAGGAGTTCCCAGCGACCCCCCCCACCCCTCCCAGCCTGGTAAAGCCCTTGCCAAAACTCTGAATGAAAGGAATTCACAGTTACTCTAGGAAGGAAGTCACAGGCTCCCAACCCCCAAATCCTGACAGGGAGGCTCCTGAGGAGGCCAGAAGAGTGTCTGGGGGGAGTCAAGAAACCTGCCTTCAGGCCTCAGCCGTGCTCTCCACTTGCTGAGGTACCTGTGAGCCACTCCGTGACTCAGTTGCCCCTCTGGGAAGCAAAGAAGGAGGGATCAGTGGTTGCCCAGAGGCCACCAGGCCACAAGCCCCTATGGTCACCACGCACTGTTACACTAAAAATGTCATGTGCCTGCCTTGGAGCTGGTAGGCTATTTTTCTAACGCATGCTAATATCGTGATTAATAAACACACATCTATTCCAACGCAAAAATGAAACCACAGCTGCTTTTTGTCATTGTGCAGTTTCTCAAACAAAAGACACCAAAAGAACAACCACTGCTAAACGACTTTGGTTTAAAGAGACTGGGAATCTCTGTGTAGAGGATTGCTAAGGGGACAGTCACCAAGGGGATGGTCTCCAAGGGGATGGTCGCCAAGGGCCCTTCCAGGTCATCTGCCCCATGATTGTCTGGCATCACTTGGGCAAATGCCTGTCCTTGTGTTCCTAAGGCCTGGGTCCCCTGAGGAACAAGCCTCTTGTCTTGGCTCCAGGGACAGAGTCCCCACAGTGTGGGCTGTGTCCTGGCTCTGCAGCACAGCCTGTAGGCACAAAGTGCCATTACTGCTGCACCTCAGGCCTCAGTTTCCCCTCCAGCTCTGATACTGACCAGTCATAAGAGTGGAGCCTGGGCATTTCTCTCCACGACCCCTCACTATCAGCTTCCAGTGCCAAAAAAGGAGAGCTTCTGGTCACAGTGGTACCCCATCCTCCCAACTACCACACTTAAGGCCACAGCCCAATAGGGATCTGCTATTAGTGCTGAGACCCTGCTGAGCCAAGTGCCATCCCCAGCCTTAGCAGGGAGAACTGAGCAGCATGTCTCACATCCAAGCACAAGCACAGACCTTCCTTTCACACATCCTGAGTGGCCCAGCTGCACCCTCCACTCTGGACACATCCTTAGCTGTGGGTCAGTGGCCCTAGATTCCAGATAGAAATCAGAATCACCCACTTGTCACAACTCACCCCCACCTCCACCCCCACCCCGGACCCTCCCGGCCAGTTTCACATTGGTCCTGGTGCTGAGTCAGAGGTTTAGAGAGCCTCCGGATAAATCAGGGGCCTCAGCAGAGTCCCGCCTCCCAAAGGCCCAGAATTGGGGCCACCCCAGTCTGTCAGGGCTTACAGAAAACACCACCCCCAAAGGCAGAGCGCTGGTCTAAGACCCCACCCACCGACTCACCCAGACTTTAGCGTACAAATCCCTAATCTCCACTCATCCCCCCAAAGCGAAGAAGGAATCTACCTTGCCCACTTTATGTTTTAAAATAACAAAGCCAAGGGCAGAAGACAGACCAGCTGCCCCCACATCCAATCTTCCTCTCCCAGAAAACTCCACTTGCTACTTCTAATGTTTTCCCTCCATCAGACCGAAAGCAGCTCGTGAACCTGCCTTATCTTCAGGACACCATCCCCCTCTCCGCTTGCTAACTTCCCGGGTCACTGGACAAAAGATAATCACCCCTACTCTTCCCAAGAACTCGCTTGCCGCCCACCACCGCCCCATGACGTCCCAGGTCCCAGTGCTGTCCCAGATCCTTCCCAGCCAGCCCCCAGCCCGCCACCCTGGACGAACTACAGAGGGCTGTGCCAGAAGCGGTTCCCCTAGGACCTGAGGACGCACTTGGAAAGGCCCAGCCCAGGAGGCCCAGAGATCCACGCTGGACGCCCTCTACCCGCAATATCCCCATGGCCAGGGGCTGGGCGAAAAGCCCGTGGGGAAGGGGAGAGATCCCAAGCGGCGGATCCAGCCACCCCACGCGCACTCACCAGGCAGAGCCGCCGAGCCCGCGCGTCTGCGCCGGGGCAGCGGGAGAACCCACGCGCGCTGTTCAATCCGGGCTCCGAATGACGAAAAGCCTCGCTCGGCTCCAGCCGGCCCTGGACCAACGCACCGACCCGCGGACGCACGATGGTCTGGCTTCCCAACTAAGTTTGAAAGTTCCCTCCACCGCAAGGGAGGAGGACGTGGACCGCGCAGCTGCCCCTAACCATCCGGGCTGAGCTCAGCGGGGAAGCCGGGATCCGACGCCTCGGGGGCCGGGGGTTCGGGACAAGCGAGCTTCCTTGGCGCAGGACGCGCTCTGGCGCCGCGCAGAAAATATCTGGCTGGGGGTGGGGGCGGCGATTTTGAAAAAATGGGAGAGGGTTGCCCCCTACTGCAGCGCCCGCCTGCAGGGACCCTGCTCTCGGTCCCCGAGAGGGTATAGGCCTTGATTGGCCATTGCAACTCGGAATCTGAGGCCCCGCCAGGCAACGATGGCCAATTAGTAAAGGGCCCAATTAACGCGCGGTGGCGCGGTGAAGTTAAACCCCGGCGTGAGAGTGTAGATGACCAAGGTGGGGGGGTGGGAGTTAAGGGCAGTGCGGAGCCTGTGGCTGTTCCTAGGTGTGACCGCGTGTCACTGTGTGGACGTCAGTGTGATCTGTGTCTGAGGTTCACCGTCCGGGGGTGGCTGTGTGTGACAAGTGTGCGCTTGTGTGAGTCATAGTATGAGCTTGTGACTGTCGAAGCGACTTCTTTGTGTGACTGTCCCTAGTTGTGACTGGGTGTGACAGCGGATGGGGGCATGTAACGGGGTGTATGTGGCATGTAGTGTGCGTGGATGGGTGACCTTATGTGGCGGCACGACAATGTACGTGGGCGAGTGACTGAGTGTTGTTGTGAATAAATGACTTGTCAGGGTGACTCGTGCGGGACGGTATGCCAGTGCAAGCCGTTCATGGCTGTCTGTGACAGTAGGTCACTGTGTGTCTGCTTGTGAATGAATGTGTGGCTGTCGGGAGACGTAGATGAGTGAGAGACACTGTGTCGTCGTGCGGATGGCTGTCGGGGTGACTTCGGCTGTGATCCGCACAACTCAGGGCGTGTGTGTGACCGCGAGGGTATCGATGTGAGCGGCACGTGCCCCTCAGCGGGGTCGAAGTGTATGTGTCCCCCCGTGTGCACCCCAAAGTGCCCACGTCGCGAATCACCAGGTGACTCCCGCCACCGCTCAGGCCCGGGGCGCTCGGGCCCGGCAGGGTCCGAAGGCGCGGGCAGGCCGCGCCCGCCTGGCCGCGCACCCCACCCCCGCCTACCTTGCCGCAGTGGTAGTAGTCCAGGTGCGCCAGGCCGGCCGGCTCGGCCCCGGGCCGCGCGCCCACCGCGGGCGCCGAGGGGTACAGGCGGACGTCCATGGCGGGCGCGGCGGCGGCGGCGGCTCCCGCGGGCAGTGCCTGGGCGGGCGGCGGTGGGAGACGGGTGCGAGCGGGTGTGCGAGCGCGGGGGCGGGCCGGGGGCGGCGCCCGGCGGAGCGCCCCGCCCCCGCCCCGCCCCGCCCGCACGCGCTATTGTTCCGGCCTCGGGCGCCGCCGGGGGCAGGGGGCCCGGGCCGAGGCCGGGAGGTCCCTCCTCCGGGATGGGGCGCCGCCGGTCCCCGGCCCGGCCCTCGGCCCCTGAGGGTCTGTAGGGTTGTGCCCCTGTCCAAACGGCTCTTTCCCGTCCCGCCTTTTGCCACCAAGGGTGTAGGGAAGGAGAAACCCGCACGACACCCCTCTCCAGAAGCGGGACAATCTCGACCCTAAATATCTGGGGCGGCGCCAACCCCGATATGGCGTAGGGGACAGGGGAGGAAGGCAGTAACGCGAACTCTTTCGGAGATGAGGGCTGCTCTCTCTGGGGACGCGGCCCAGCGCGGGAGGCTGATCTTAGGAAGTCCTCCCTCCTGGTCCGGCTGACCTGAGTTACCGAGAGGGGGGCCCCCCGAGGGAAATCAGTGGCCTTAAACTTTAATTTTACGTGTGGGGAAACTGAGGCACGGGCTTTCGGCATCAGTAACGGAGCACCGGCCCGGTGGGCTTCCCTGACCCCAAAGGATCCAGAACTGAAAGCACTTGGAGAAAGCGCAGGAACCCTGCGCCCTTTGATAATAGGGAGGAGAAGGGCTAGAGGAATGGCCTAGAGTTCCAAGCTCTGAGTCAGGGTCTGGAGTCTACCCCACTCACGTTCTCCTGGGTGAGAAAAGGAAGGAAATGCAACAGAGGTGACTGCGAAACGGGTCCCTCCCCCTAAAAAACAAGAAAAATGATGATTTCTCACAACACTTTAGATCTGCGAAACTGTTGCATCTCCTTTTTCAATTGGAGAATTGTCTATGCCTGGGGTCTACTCCCTTGCCTCCCACTCCACACACTGCCCTCTCAGTATCTCCCACCTCTGCCCTCCCATGATCCCTCCCATGATCCCTGCCCCCCCCCCCCCATGATCCCTGCCTGGGAAAGACCAGGAGGAGCAGGAGGCAGAAGTGGATTCTCCTGTGGTGGTAGAACGAATGCTGCTTGAGCCTCTTGACCACCCAAGAGCCACCTTGAAACTTATCTCCCAACTGCTGCTTGGACTTCACTATTTGTGACCATCAAAACCCAGGAACACAAGATAGGTGTGGGAAACAGCTTTTCACTAAAGGTTTGGGAACAACAGAGGGAAATTACAGCTCAGAGAGGAAAGAATTTCTAAATTAATTTCAGCAGTCATTGTTTCTAGAAATACTGTGCCACACCTTATCAAAAGGAATTCCCCACTGGCCCCTCTCTTTTTATTCCATCTGGTTACCAGACTGACCCAGCACTACTTGTTGAACCCACACACTCTCTTCTCTGCAGTGCTTTGTCATAAATCAGTAGTCCATATATGCATGAGACTATTCCAGAACTCTCTGTCTTGTTCAATTAGCCTATTTTTCCTTGTGCCAACATCACACTGTCTAGATTACTGCATCTTTGTAATGTCTTAATGTCCCACATAATTAAGTCTGCCCACTTTGTTCTTTCAGACTGTTGGTTATCAACCTTGGCACTTTTATAGAAATGTTAAAACCAGCTTATTTTTTACACACACAATATTACTAGGATTTTGATTGATATCACATTGAATCTAGAAATCAATTTGGATAAAACTGACATTTTTGATATGAATGTTTCTTATTCATGAACATGGTATGTTGCACCATTTATTTAAGGAATGTTTTTCTTAAAAGAGTTCTCTCAGCTATGTTTTGTGGGTTTTGTATGTAGAGATCTTGCACATCTTTTATTAGTTTTAGACCTAGATATTTTATGGTTTGGGTGCTATTATAAATAATTTCTTTATTTTATGTTTTGTTTGTGGCCAGTACAATGTCATGGTTGTACAAGCCCACGGATTCTTGACACCACTCACAAGGGGTGGCATCTAACCTTGCCCTTGAAAAGTATTGGTTTTAGTAAATGGTTTTTACCAAGTGTGGCAGAAGTGATGGTGTGTGACTTCAGAGTCCAGGCGTAGAAGCTGATATAGCCTCTGCTAACCTCCCTCTCTTGTGATTTTTGTCTTCAGAGATCTAGGCCACTATACAGGAGGTCTTAGGCTGCCAAGCTTTAAAGCATTCCAAATTAACCCACATAGACAAACCGTAAGCAGAGATCTTGAAACTAGATGAAGAGGGTAAGTTGCCTAGTTGGTCTCTGACTTAGCTGTCCCCTGCTGTTCCAATTCTGGCCATTGCTTCGCTGCAACCACATGAAAAAAATCTGAACTGTGCAACTTAGCCCTTCTTCAATCCAAAATGTACAGAAACCATGAGACATAATAAGTGCTTACTGTTATTTTAAGCCACAAATTTTTGGAGTTACTCATCAATATAGATCTGGAATTTAGTAGAAATAGATTTTTACAGAATGCCCTTGTACTGAGCAATATCACTAAACGTATTATTAATTCTAACAATTTATCTGTAGATTTTCTGACATATATATATATATATATATATATATATATATATACCATTTTCTATCTCATCTGTAAAAATGAGTTTGCTTTCTCTTTTCCATCCTTATACATTTCATTTCTTTTTCTTGCCTTGTTTCACTGACTAGTATCACCAGTGTAATGTGGAAAGAGTAATAAGGGCCCTCCTTGTCTCTTACCTGATCTCAGAAGGAGTAATCTCACTCCATTAATCACAGTGTGTGCTGTATTTTTATTTTTGTTTCATTTTGTTTGGGGCTTTTGTTTTGTGTTTTGTAGATACCTCTGTTGCAGGTTGGGGAGGTTGGTCTTCACAAAGACCCTCTGGGTCAGAAAATAAGGCTCCGGTGACCACTTTACAGATGGGAAGAAAGGGGCCAGTGAGAAATGCTCGACACCCAGAGTTAATAGCAGAGCCAGAACCTAGCTAAGCCTGGGACTCTCTCCTGGAGCACACCCTGAGGAGTCCCACCAGCTCGGCCCACACCTGGGGAAGGATGTCTGCCAGAGTCCAGAGGCACAAGGGGTGAGCCACATCAGCCACTGGGCTCCCTGAGCATGCCAGCAGCAGCAACCATTAACCCGGCTGGTCACCTGGTCACCTCTGTCCCCTCCTCAGGAAGGGACAAGCATCAGGAGAGTCTAGTAGTAAGGTCCACAGGGAAGCGACACAGGCCCCAAAGCCTGGCCTCGCCCTTTCATGCTGGCAGCTGATTGGACAGAGGCTGATGACTTGGTTCTCTTGTAGAAATGGCTTCACATGCTTTCTTCAGAATGGGGGTGGCCTGAGCCTCCTCTTCCCCTTTACCTCAGTCCTGCACAGAGCACCAGTGGACACAGGCCAGCCTGGCTGTGCCCTGCCTGCAGCGGCCCAGTTGGAGACCCAGGGTACCTGCTCACGCGTCGTCCAGCTTTCTATTTCTAATAGCCAACAATCAAAATAGAGACGTGTGAATATACCAGGTGAATTCCACCTCTGTGTAAACCTGTAAAGGACCAACTTATAAAAACAATAGATGAGGGGAAGGTCAGGGCAGTAGGGAAGGGGGAGCGAGGAGCCGTAGGAGAAGGGGAGGGAGGGAGGAGATACTGAGGACTGAAATGAAACAAATTATATTTCATGCATGTGTGATTGTGTCAAAATGAAGTCCACGATTAAGTGCATCTACAATACTCTAAGAAAAACATTTAAAAAAAGAGATGTCTGTCTCTAGGCACAGTGGTGCAGCCTGTAATCCCAGCAGCTCAGGAGGCTGAGGCAGGAGGATCATGTGTTCAGAGCCAACCTCAGCAACTTAACGAGGCCCTAAGCAACACAGCAAGACCCTGTCTCTAAATAAAATATAAAAAAGGGCTGGGGATGTGGCTCCGTGGATGAGCACCCCTGGGTTCAATCCCTGGAACAGAGTGGGGGGTGTTTTACTGTGTTCATTATTATTTCGATGTGGTGAAGTCATCAGATCAGGAGATGATTGCCAAGGAGAAATAGCTTGGTACTCACAGTCCCCAAGGTGGGGGGGCATGCCATCCATGAGGGCCACATGGGTTAGCCTAAGAATGAACGTTTCAAAAGTAAACCAAACTATCCAGATCCACACCTCTTTTGTAGAATCCTAACTCATCCTTTAAGTCCCCAACTCAGCTGCTCCAATATGCTTTTCCAATAGCTGTTTGTACACAGAATTTATGAGTGTCAACCTCACCAAACTGTTATAACACATGTGCCCTATGAGGTGAGGGGCAATGGCTCCCCAATCTTGGTGTCCCCAGTGACTAACACATGCCCACGTCTAGAGGAGGTAGAGCTTTGGAGGACCCTCTTATCTACACACACGCCCTCTCAGGAGAAGTAGCCTGAATTGTTCAGATTCCAAGGCACAGAAGAGCAGTGGGTGAGTCACAATTCAGCACCTGACTCTGTCTCTACCTTCCAGCAGCCAGTGTGCATAAGATCTGGCGGGATGTGTTAAGCCAGATTGGGGTGCAGAAAATGGAGATGTACAGGGGGAAGCTCAGCTTCTTGGTTAGGGTCCTCCAAAAGCTGGTCCTGGGGCAAGGATTCCAGTGCAAGTAGTTTGCTGAAGAGTGATCCCGGGGCACACAGGTAGAAGAACAACAGTCCTGGAAGGGCAATTGTCAACAAACAAACAAAAAACCAAACCACTGGGAGCAGCCAGAGCCTGATTCCTCCGGGGAATTCCGCAAAGCAAGATAGAACAC